ATCCAAAGAGAATGGAGGAACTCAAGAACTTTGACACGATACCATGGGTGCGGGTACACCCTGTCAATGGATGACCTGTTGTTCCGGGAGCATATAATAGCCCGAGGGCAAGAACTCTATTGATGATTTAGTGCAGGGTACCAACTTAAATCGACGTTTGTTTGTAGGATTCAAGAGGATTTCGGCAGTTGCAAATTGAGTTTCTCTGGTACTGGCAAAGAAACAATTTTCTTTTGATAATCACTTTAATATTAGGGTTAAAATCCGGTCAATGTAGATGTCTGGACATTCCCAACCCGTCGTTTATTCTGAACCCGCTCAACCTAATATTGCCAAATTAGTAGGTGTAAATCTCCTCTCGAATGTGATGTGGAACCCATCCGTTTCAAATGAAATCGAGTGAGAGAAGGGAGAATATGCTCAATTGATTCGGTAGTGGTTTCCAAAGGCCCTACTAAAATTGGGTCCACCATGTTAAAAGTCAAAATCAAGGTAAGCGAAGGTATTTTATTAGAGGAGAAATTAGACTTCTCATCAAAGAGTAATTTCATGATTACAAAATAGGCCATGTTTTCTTACATCCAGTTAGTGGGTTACAAGTATGCACAACACTCGGCATTTAATTTTGATTAAGTTTGTATGTGGATAACGCCCGCAAATTATTACTTACCAATCAAAGTGGTGTCTCATATTGTGCATTGGTCTCTGACGCACGGGCACAAACGAACGATAAAGATGTCTACGCACAATTTTGCAAATCAACTTTGCTAATTACTCTTTGAGATCAATAATTACAAAAGCGTCCCTTTCGTGTTGACAAACTTAGAGACGACAACATGGCGACCAAGTTGTCGCTATTAGTGAATGCTGCACAACATTGTGTAGACAAAAAGGCAACTTCCCATCCCATCAAACCGTATGAGTTGGAGAAATCGTATGATTTCCCCATTTTCTATCGTTCTTTTTCGGATCATACAATAGGATACTCTATTTCAAAGCAAACTGTCCCACATGCAGCATCGTTTTCCATGGTTATGGCCGATTTGGGTTTAGAATCCATCCGTGTTGGAGATTGGGAATACATTGGGTTAGTCATTAGGAATTTTTCATGGTTCAAAACAACTAGGTTTCTAAAGTTGATCCTCCTTTGTTGCATTTACTTCCTCAAGGGCATGAACTCAAACTTTATCAAGATCAATCACATTCATAATCTCTAGATCCGTCAAGCCACTGTGAAGGCGTATTTGCGTCCACGTCAGTAATTTCCGGCCAAATTTGACCGGATGGATTCAATTGGCAAAACGTGAAAAGATTTAGGATTTGGTTGGTAAAATTGAAAAGTTTAGGACTGAATTGGCCAGAATGTAATAGGTTTATAACTTTTTGAACAAATTTCCCCATTGCCGATTGCCCTCGTAACCTCCAACAAAATAGATGGTAAGATATATTGATTTTATTTTTATTTTTTATGTTTTTAGAACTTTCAAATTTTATTGTAAGATTTGCTAAATTTCTTTTAAATCTGCTAAACTTTTTTATATGCAATATTTTCCTTAATTTGCTAAATTATTTGTGCGTATCAACGAACGCGGAGGCGATAGTTAGGGTTGATTTGCTCCTAAGATGGGAAGGGAACCTATCCTATCAAAGTAGGTTCTTGTTTTTGAAGAAACTGAACGGGTCTCCCTAGAACCAAAGAGGCCAGTTCTCGAAATTGGCTACCTTTTTTTTTTCCGCTTCATTTTTTTTTATTGTGGATCAAGCATATTCATTTAGTACCTGTAATCTAAAAGTTCCCCATAAAACAAAGAAATGTAAGACCAAATAAGAAAGTTTTTAAGAGACGTAAATTAGAGTTCGGTTAAAAATTGATTTGGTTCAAAACAAGCCTTGAAACTGGTATTACAAGAGAACTAGCCTTACTAGGCCTGTTCTCGATAGAACCAACGTTTCTTGATTTCAACCGAATCAATCCCCACGTGAACCGACTGGGAATCAATTGGGTTACAGTGGTTCGGTTCGGTTCCTGAGTTGAATCGCCTGGTTACTCACCCAAAACGACAATGAAGCACTACCAATAGGCCATTTGCCACTTACCATTAAAAATCCTCCTATGGCACATGCGTCCATCTAGTGGGTGTAACTTAACACATGATAGGTAGATGACGTAGAAAATACGAGTTTCATACGCATCCTGTATATCTGAATCCATACGAGTTTCATATGCATCCTGTGTATCCGAATCTGCTCCATCTAAATCATTGAACCGTGCGAGCCTCCAAGAAGGATAATTAAGATGCAATGCATCCACTGAACATGAGCCCTCTTCATCACAAACATGATAAGGGGTTCATATTATTTAAAGGCTGAGATAGTGCAGACGCAATTCTCCAAAAGTGAATATAATTTTTTCTGTAAAACAATAATATATTAGCACCATTGTTTTCCCTTAAATAGCTGGGGCAAGAAATAGGATTTATTTTTCCACATTACACTTTCCTTTATACGTATGAGAAACATATATGGCAAATGAATTTATATTGCATGTAGTGTAGTTTACCTTAGGAAAATGAAAAGAGAGTGGTAGCGTTAACCTCAAAAAATGACGGATCGATTTTAACCACTAAAGTTATTCCTCAAAATCAGATGACCTTTTGATCCGGTTGCAAAAAAAAAATTGGGGGCTGTGCGGCTATGACTTTAAAGGAAACACACATTAGCACAGAAAAAAAGAAGATCGATCAAAAGATCAAAAAGAAGAAACGAAAAAAAAAAACTAAATAACCTTAGACGAAGAGCAATCGGTTATATGTAAATGTTTTTAAAAATATTTCTTTCTAAAAAGGGCTTGGACTAGGTTGTTACATACCTCACCCGCTATAAACATTAATAATTTGTCAATTGAACAATACGCGACTTTAATAAGTAAATTACAGGAAAAAAAAAATTTGTCATCTGTGTTGACTCCTATTTTTAATTTGCCCAAAAAAAAATAAAAAATAAAAAATAATTGCACAAAATTTAGGAGTTAATTTTCATTAATTCCTAAAACAAAAAAATATTTCTATTTCGGGGGGGGGCGACTACCCTTGTTTTGCCCTGTTTTGGTGTCCTGTTTGGCCGGGACTCACGCCGGCCATTTTAATATTTTTATTTTATTTTTAAAAAAAATTTAAATTTTTTTTCTTTTTCTCTTTTTTTTTCGAGAAATTTTTTTTTTTTTAAAAAGAAAAGTTTTTTTTTTAAATTATGTGATATTTCTAAGTGTTTTGTTTTATTGTGATATTATTATGCATGTTTTTAATACAATTGCATGAGTTGTGTTTTATTTGGGTTTCTAATCGACCCACCCCAAATCGATTAGTGGCGACTCCTCGATATAAACCACTTGCATGTTAAAAAACTTAAACACTAAGTCGCGATATGGTATGGGCTTGGGAGAGCCCGAGTTAAATCCCGAACCTAAACTTAGCACATACCAGGCGAAACCCCCTTTTTGACGAAAGAAGCGGGAAGTCGGTCGCGACAATCTGGATTGTGACTACGGACTTGTTAACCTTGAACCTTCGCAATCATAATGAATAATATTTTCGGCTCAAATCGAATAGTTTTTGTGTGAAAGACTTATGGGAATCTCTATAGAGGGTACTCATGTTGGTCTCCGTTCCCATCGTTTTATCCATAAAAAGAAATCAGATAAGTATCTTTTCTGAGGAAAATGCTATTTCTTTGATACAATAAGCATATCTTATGAGGTTTAATATTCTATTTCTATTGTGCCATTTATGTAAGGTCTAAACAAAATAAAAAGATAAAAAAGATGGGAAATCAAAAATTGGCTTGTATTTTAGTTTTCCATGCAAAAGAGAGATCACAAAGACGAACTTATGTGAAGCACGCGACCCATCTCTCTTTGCAAAAGTAACGGACCGTTTTTTACTGTAAAAAGCGTCGCTTGAAACCTTTTGGTCTACTTGTCTGGTTCCTCTAATATTGCCTTTTAGTTTTAGATACAAACTAAGAAACAAGGTCAAGAAAATTGTGAAATAATTATAATAATAACAACAATAAATTTACACTCCCTTGGTATAAAAAATTTATATTTATAGCTTTCACTTAGATAATCCATATGTGGAGTATTTGCGCTAGTCCCTGTTCTCATCCTTTCCTCCCTAGAAGAAATAAAACAAATATCTTTTGGAGAAATGTGCTATGTCTTTAATGCGATAAGCATATCTTATTAGGTTAAAATTAATTTATAATTCATGCCAGTTACGTAAGTTTTAAACAAAGAAAAATTATAAAAAAAAATGTCAGGATGGGAATGAACTTTTTTGTGAAAAAAACTTGAAGCTTTGTAACAAATTCCATGTAACTTTTTTATGATAATCCGTATCATAATAGATTTACCCCAATATTTTGACCCATAGGCATTTTGTCTTTTCCTTTTTTCTTTTTTCCTTTCTTCTTCGGCGGAGGAAAGCGGCGAGGCGGTCCTCGCCGGCGGTGGGTTAGGCGAGGCCTCGTCGGATCTGTATGAATTCATTAATAAGCTATAATTTTTTTCAAGGTAACATGGAAATTTTAGTCATAAACTCTTGAAATTTGTATAGTGTTTCTTATCTAGCTTGAAAAAAACTTGTGAAATAAGTCCTAAAACTTGTCAAATTGGTTCAATCAAGTCCTTCAATTGATTGTACTTTTTGAAAGTTTTAGGACTTGTTTACACTTTTGTGGTAAGTTTTAGGACTTGTTTGCATTTTCGTGATAAGTTTTAGGGCTTATTTGCACTTTTTGAAAGTTTTAAGACTTAAGTGCATTTTCATGACAAGTTTTAGGACTTATTTGCACTTTTGAAAGTTTAAGACTCAATTATACTTTTACGATAAGTTTTAGTATTTCTAGTGCACTTATCCCTATAATATACATATACTTTTGAAAGGAAATTTGTGGTCAACAGGTCTCCCTTATTCTTATTATAAGCAAGCTCCCTCCTTCCTCTCCATATCCATCTTCCAGTTCTACGTTTTCATTTCCTTCGCCTCTTCCTCAGCTCAGCAAGCGTTCCGTTCCAGACATGGACGCGACTCGGGAGCACCAGATCGGCGAGCACGAGGAAGACGACGACCACGACGGCGCGACAACCCTCGAGTTAAGAACCGACGGTGGAGAGCATTCCGCCGCCGATGATCAGCCCCGAGAGCACGGCTCAACCGCCGCCACCGTCTCCTCGACGACGCCGCCACCTCGTCGGCCATCCGCTCTCACGCTCAAAGAAGAGCCCGGGAGAGAAGAATCCCGTCAGCAACTGCGCGCGATGCCGGCGGCGTTGCCCTCGAGGCGGTCGACCAAGGACCGCCACACGAAGGTGGAGGGCCGGGGACGGAGGGTCCGGATGCCGGCCGCCTGCGCCGCCCGGATCTTCCAGCTGACCAGGGAGCTGGGCCACAGGTCCGACGGAGAGACCATCCAGTGGCTGCTCGAGCGCGCCGAGCCCGCCATCATCGCCGCCACCGGTACCGGCACCGTCCCCGCCATCGCCATGTCCGTCGGCGGCACTTTCAAGATTCCCACCGCCGCCACAGCGGCCAAAGACCCGGAACCCGGCGACCCGCCCGGCAAGAAGAAGCCAAAGCGAACCACGAACAGCGACTACGTCGACGTCCGTGAGCACATGACCTCGCCGAGCTCAACGATCCTCGCACCGTCGACACAAAGTCACCAGCATCACCACCCCCACAACCACCACTTATTCCCTCAAGGTTTAGTCCCCATGTGGGCCATACCTTCGAGCGCCGTCGCTTCCGGAGCTTACTTCGTGATCCCGCACGTGGCCTCCGCCCCAGCACCGGCGGCGCGGCCGATATCGTCGTTCGTGGCCGCCATCCAACAGTACGACGCGACCGTGGCCACGAAACGCGCTGCCGAAGCTCAAGGGAGCGATTCGGTATCTCAGGAGATAGGCGGTGCCAACATGAGGTCTGACGCCCCGGGGCCGAAACCGACGAGAGCGGCGGCGGCGTCGGTCATGGCGCCGAGCTCGGCGGCGACGGCGAGCGCTCCTCAGGTGCTCCGGGATTTTTCCCTGGAGATCCGCGATAGGCGAGAGCTTTAAGCAGGCGAACCGCGCAGCGAAGCATTAGCGACGACGCCCGGAGGCAAGGTTGGCGGCGATTTTGGGGTGGCTTCCGCCATTGACGGCCTCGCCGGAGCATCAGGAGCGACGGCATGGACCGGCTCGACGTCGGAAGTGGCGCTCTCTATTCCGGCTCATCGGGCTTCGAGAAAGGGCGCACGTGGGGTCACGTGAGGGGCGCTAATAAAGGTTCGCACGTGTGAGGTCCGGGTGGGGCCTACATGCATCCTAGTTGGTGGGGGTTAACTTTAAGACATGGCGGACCGCAATACTCGCACTAAATTGGTCAATGAAGTTTGAATTCCAATTTTTTTTTTCTTTGCAATTGATGTACTTTGCCTTGCCGATCAATTTTCTCATGAATTGCCGACGTGGCGGGCAAGCGATCCATTTTCCGAATGCCACGTCATTGCCACTGGATTCAATGTTAGCATTTCCTCAAAAAGAAAAAAAAAGTTTGTCGCATAATCAATATAAAATCTGGATAATTTGGCGATTAAATAAAAGTTTAATAATGCCGACTTGTAGATCTCACTTAATTTTTAGTGATCGCTAACGGACTTTATCCGACAATATCGCTTTCGATGATGATGGGGTAGATTGGCCCATGATACATTTAAATCCTCATATTACAATAGAATATAGTTCCAGAATCTTACTAAAATAAAGTCTTACAGAATCGCCTCTATCGTCCACATCAAATAAGTTAATAGATAAGTCTTCTACAGTTATTTCTCGAGTGAAAATTATTTCGAATACAAATATACGATCGAAGTCGGGTCTTGATTAGGCGTTGAGTTGCTTGTTATTATTGAGAATATGTATGCAATTGAAATTGACTAACTTGCCAATAGGCATGCGGCTTTGCTGGTAAAGGGTTTGTGGGGTGGGGACTTTAGTATCACGGGTGCAGGGTTCGACTCGATCTGCAAGAGGCAGAGCAAAAGGTCAGAGAGCGAGGAGAGTTAGAGATAGGACATACCAAAAAACAAAATTGATTAACTTCGTAATATCCTCTTAAAAAAACTATATTAATATATTTGGGTAGTGTCCGGCTATTTCATTTCGGGATTAGATTGAATCGGAAAAAAAAAAAAAGAAAAATTTAGCGCGTGTATTTCTTATGAATAAAACAAATTTTTTTATTACAATCATGTTGGGGAATCGTGTGGGGGCCCACCCAAATCTGGCGCTCATGTCATGTGATGGCGGGCGGGGGGACCCAAGACGACGTCGCGCGTGTGGGGCCCCCCAGAGGAGGGACCGCCCTTCGCTGTTCACAAGGCGGCTCTGCCTCACGCCAGCGGCGGCCAGCGCGGTGGTCCCCGCCCCCACCACCACCACCACCCGCCGCGGAGGGGGGTCCGCTTCTTGGGGTTGGTGGTCCGATCCGGAATTTACCAAAATCACATTATTAAACAAAATTCGTACAAAAAGTTCAGTTTTTGATGACGGTGTGCTTAGCTTAACCGGTTTAGGGATGGAAGCGGGATAGATATGGTAAGGTCGAATTCGTCCCGAAACCATCATGTTTCTCCAATCTCGTCTCTTTTAACTTTCGATTATCCTCCAAATCCATCTCGAACCTGTGACGGCATTTGAGATGAAAATCCAAACTCGGCATTGAGACGAAATAATCGGGGCCCTCAACTTAGGACATTTTTAGTTATATGTATTTATCTAACTAAATACATGATGAATCACCTCAAATTGCAAACACAAGCAATTTTTTAAAAATTTCACGCATTAAATCTCTAAATATTTGAGTTCAATTATTATAGAAATAAAAAATTTAGTAAATCTAAAATGAGAGTCGGGCTTAAAAGGTGGGGGTTTTTAAACTATGGTAGATTATGATTAGTTTTGTTTTGGGGGTTCACAGTAGTTTTGTTTATTTAACTGAATTATGTAAGCACCGTGGATGATTAGTTTTTAGATAATCAATGCGCATCGGATTCGGTTATCGGTTTTCGAGCTTTAATATCCTATAATTCATAGGTTTTTTTTTCTCGAAACTTGAAACTCATTTACGTCCCATTAGGTTGCGTTTGTCGTCGGGATTTTTAAATATGATGAAGCCCTGATAGATAGGATAAAGAAATCCCAGGATTTTCTTCATATCCTGTTCACCGCTTTGGTGGGACTACGGATTTAAAGTCGGATAGGATAATTTTTATTTTTATTTTTTGCTATTAATGGTTCCGAGGAGTCGGTGAAGGAAAAAAAGGCGTAGAAATTTTTTTGGTGAAAGCGCACAAGGTGTGGGGATGAAGATGACGAGCGAGTGAGTATAGTTTTACTGGAAAAATAGGCATTAGAAATCTATCCTAGTCTATCCCACCCTTCCCAGGATTTTTTATCCAGGCTATATCCGGGTCATATCCGAGGCCTTTATCACATCCCTGGGACCGTCGCAAACGACGAATAGTGATAAAAGCATGCTCCTATCACCGGTTTTATCCTGATCGACCAAACGTAACCTTAAAGTTTGTGAGGTGTCGGATACCCTATCATATCCGCCCCGCTCCATCCCTTCACCGCTAGGTAAAGATACATACTTTCCATCGAAGTATTCCCCAAACGAAATTTAGCTCTAACAGAAAAAAATTAACCAGGATAGATCAAAATATTTTAGATGAAGAATGACGCCACCACTAATCCCTTTACTACCGTCACAAATCCAAAATTGTCTCTCTACCAATTTTTCTCAAAATGGCTCTTCTACTTACTGAATAGGATCACTGTTAGTCCTTCGAAATACAAGTGTCAGGTGAACGCATTTATGGTATGGCACCAGGCATTGGATACATCATCAACACATACTTTAAAGGGGTAGACATTTATTTTAAGTTTATAAGTAAAGCGCTTTCTACACTTGATAAATGAATCATTAATCATCAACAGATTAACCCATGAATGTACATACGCTCTACATATCCATAGTCTCCTTTCTTTCCTTATATCTTCTTCTCCACATGCCTTCAATTTTCAGTTTTATCAGTCCATTCCCAAGTCAATCCGCTTCACGATCGAACCGGATACCGTTAATCACTATCGGGCTCCTCACGACGTGACTCGAGCTTTTCCACGCGAGCGAACCGGACACGACCCGGTTCTCCAACGCCGGCTCCGCCTCCACCACAACCTTGAAGCTTCTCTTTTGCATCGCACGAGTGAAGGACAGGCTCGTAGGCTTGACCACAATCTTCACACCTCTTGGAGCTCTAACCGTGGCATTGTACATGGACCGAGCAGGACCGACATTCGTGACCGTCCTCACAAAGACTCCAATGGTTGGTTCTCGGCTGTTTCTCAGCGTGAGCTGCATAGTGGGGTAGTTGAGTGAATCGTATCCGAGCCCGGGGACCAACGAGGAGCAGTTTACGGTTCGGCCCGGGCCGAGCAGGACCTGCAATGAAGACCCGGGATAGCCCTCGCTGCAGAGGAACTGAATGTAGGACATCTCGCCCATGTCATACACTAAGCCCGGGTTGAGAGCTCGGATTGGGTTGAGCTGGCCGGCGCCGTAAGCGAACTCGCCATCGGGGTTCATCCTCCGGCTCATGGGTTTCGCTTATCGATGAGGGAAATTGAGACAGTTGGAAGTGTGAGCTATGATGGAATGAAGTATTATATAGACAAACCTTTAATCTTAACATGAAGCTTATTGTACTTGCTTTATAAGTTGTCATTGGCATAATCTTCCATTTGATTTATTCATATCCATGATGATTGCTTTAAATTCGACTATATGCAGGTCATCATCTAAGCGGGCGCTAGTCGAAATAAATAGTTTCGCCGATCTGTGTACAAAACGAAAAGCTAAGTAAGATACTAATCCGTCACATATACCTGTGGTCATGATGGCTGATTTAATAGCTGCAGGACTCCAGATCGGGTGGAAAGACTTGACGTAAGCGGCTACACCGGCGACATGAGGGCACGCCATGGATGTCCCGGACATGAGATTGAATTTCGAGTAACGAGTGTCGCCTTTCAGCCCAGTCAGCGACCTCATCGGCGTGTACGATGCCAATATGTCGATCCCTGGTGCTGCAATATCAGGCTGCGTTTCCATAGTTCATGTCAATTGCATATGCAGAAGTAAAATAACTTCAAAGCTTCATAGGATCCGAATTCGGCATTCATCTCTATTTTTTTTTCGGCGAAATGAAAAAGGAGGTAGTTTGCAGGTCAAACAAATCGGACCTTGAGAATCCGCTGAGACCCCGGATTTGGACCCCGAGAAGAAAATGACGCGACGAACGGAGCCGGTATTTTCACTTCCTCTGTTCTGTGTATTACTGCTGATGGAGATCTAAGCACCAGACCAAAAGCCATATGAATGTGATAAGCTAATCTTAGGTGGATTTACGTATGTTTTTTCGGAAGCGCGAATCCAATGAGATCGCACAATCCAAAGCTTATATAATGTCAATGTTAGTGTGCATATTCTTAATCAGTTGATTCCCTCTACAGCTACAGTACGGTCATAGCGTCGCCGCGATTATGCAACTACAGCGGTGATGTGCAATTTGCTAAAAACTTCACCTAGAGCACTTGGTAAATCTATTCAGGACTTGCCTGGTAGAGTGAATGTACTCATCGATCGCCTTGCCGAGAGTACCGTTCACCATGGTTGACGGGGCCATGAAGATCTGAGCGGTGTCCAGGAACTGCTGGCTCTCAATGATAGCGCCGATCCCTCCGCTTCCTTTGACGACAAAGTCGACACCCAGCATCGCAAACTTGCAGTACACGAGCTTCCCTTTCACTTTGACCCGATCCAACGAGTTGTCCATGCAGTACCTTGCGCTCTCCTCGCTCGAGTTTGCCGCCGCGTCCGCCCCGCTCACTAGCGGGTAGAGTTTCTCCTTCGGATCGAACGTGTTCACTCCCACTCCCTGCAGTAGGCACACTCCGCGAATGAAAAACATAAGTTCACTAGACATACAAAATACAACGATGCTATCTAACCAGCGAAATCGCGTAAACATTAGCAAATAGCAATTTTCTATTGTTCCCATACCAAAATAGTTTTTTTTTTATCTGGGTAAATTTTAATAAATGTTGGTAAGTTAAAAAAAAGCCAGTGGTAGATAAATGACAAATGATTTTTTTTTCAATTAACTTATTGTTAACTCACAACAATTTTATGAAATTGCCAACTTTTCTTGACAGTTTGCAATTAGCAATTTTTATACTTGCAACAATTTTCTCCCGTTACATTATCACTTAGTAATGATTAGCAACTCTCATTGAGTTTCTTATAGACATTTTATTGTTATTCTTTTTTAAATTTTCAAATTTTCTCGGTGTTTACAAGCTTTTGTTTGCATTTTTTGGCAACACATTAAAACTAATAAACTCTATTCATATCTCTAATTAAGTTACAAACAAGTTTTGGCTTACAACTCCCATTTGAGATACTTACCAAGTTTATTTTTCCCTTAATCACCAATTTTCTCATTATTTACCAACTTTAATTTACCTTTCTTATATATGCCTTAAATTTACCAATTATTACATGAAATTACGTAGTTCAACTTAAGCGATTTGTCAACTTTTCGCTAATTAAGTTATCAATTGATTTTAGGTCATCAAATCTTATTTGAGTTAGTTACCTACGTATATTTTGTTCTTTTAACTTAATAAATTTTCTGTTGAAATATTTAAATGGGAGAAAAGTTGGTAAGTCACTCATGTAAATGTTGATATTTTCTATAATAGTTGGTAAATTTAAGATATTAGCGAGGAAGTTAAACAAAGATTGGTAAAAGGTAAGAGAAGTCATTTTTTTTATAGAAGTAGAGAAAGTAATTTGATGAAAACACGAAATAAAAGTTTGTGACCAACACAAATAAGAATTATTAATACAAAATTAGTTGGTAACTTGATCATAGAATATGGTTAGTAAGCAAGGCAAATCTAAGTGGTAACTTGATATAATAGATTCAACCTTACGCCCCGTTAGATGTTGGTAAGCAACTCAACTGAGATTATGTAAGCCAAAATAACTTGGTAATTTAATCGGAGAAGTTGATAAGTCATACAAAAAAATGTTGGTAAAAGTTTCGTACTGTACTTGATAAGTTTAGGCTTCGGTAAAAAAGATAAATAAAAGTTAGTAAAAAATAAGAGTTTTTTTTTTTGTCAGAGATAAGAGAAGTTGGTAGTTTGAACAAAAATTAATATAAATATTGGTAATTAACTCAAATAAGAGTTGGTAATGCTATATAGTCAGTAACCTAATCGGTGAAAAGTTTGTTGTCACTCTAATTTATCGAGTAAAGTCCCTACATATTTTCAAGACGGCAAAGCATTTTGTATGAATTAATACTTGTATTTGGACAAAAGAACACTACAAGTGCCATAACTTATGTACGGCGCTCACTTTGGTGCCATAAGTTTTTTTGGATCACTTAAGTGCTAAAATTTTGAAAAACGATCACTTAAGTGCCAACTCCGGTGCCGTACACAATTTTTCGCCGGAAATCCGACGTTGCATTTTTTATTAATTTCTGAAGGCGACGTGGCTCGCCGGAGATTGGCACTTAAGTAATCGTTTTTCAAAATTTTTAGCACTTAAATGATCGTTTTTAAAAAATTTTAGCACTTAAGTGATCGTTTTTCAAAATTTTAGCACCGAAGTGATCCAAAAAAACTATGACACTTAAATGATCATTTTTCCTCCGACTTGGCACCAAAGTGATCCGAAAAAAGTTATGGCACCAAAGTGATCTCCGTTACACAGTTATGCACTTATAGTATCCTTTGCCCTTGTATTTGAGTGTGCAAACGAAATATTCTCCACATACAAAATTTCATATGCAGATGATGCAACAAAAGGACACGTGTACTAGTGGTGTGCTTCTTTGCTCTGCAAAAAGATAACAAGATACTGAGTGAAAAGTGCTCAGAGTTGGAAAGACTTTTGGTGAATAAACGAGGGACTTGTGATCGTCAATGTGCTTGGACGGACCAAATAGAAGGACATCAACTTGGACAACATTGAGTATATCAATATGTTAGGAATAATATAAGTGTAGAATGTGAACAGATTGGGATTTGGTGAAATTGTCAAGAATCAATAGACGGCATGGTAGGGGAAGTTCATGCTGGAGACTGAATGGACAATATTCCACGTACATGGAAACGGAGAACTAGCTCTAGATCAATTTGTCTCAAATGCAAATCGGTGCTTTGGCTAAGCAGAGTAAGTGACAGGGGGAAGCACGGGTAGTTTTTATCTATTTTAGGTAAAGTCCATTTATTAGCTGGAGAAAAAAAGTTCTACCCCATTTGAATTCTTCAACATGCTGAGGAAGTCTCTAACGCAATATAAATGTTTTAAAGTCGGACTTGAACGGGTACGAGGGGATAAAAATGCTCTGAAAGTTGTGTTTACTTCTACATAATTGAGAAATATCTTGTGAAATCCGAGTGTATTTTCCAAGAGAGTGATAGCATACTCGTTGTAAGAGAGTACTTCGAGCATAGAGTAAATTGTGTACTTGTAGAGTAAGCGATAGTCTCTCATACAGAGGTAACTTCATTTGTAAATGTTGTCAAAAGGCTGCAAGGATTGCCCAAGTGAACACCTAGCTTAGTTTATGGGCCGTTAGAGTTGGGAGAATGGAATAGGTCAAGTGGAGAGATCGAACCACTATAAATTGCTTTGCAAACCCTCCTATCTCTTGCTCTTTTTACAATTCTGCTGACAGAATATATTTGCTTTGTAGAACATATTTTATCTACAGACACTGTTTCATCCTCTACAAGTTATTTCGCGCGAACCTTAAGCAACCAATTCACCCCCTGTTGGTCGTTAAGTTCAGTCCACTTCATAATGAAAGTTGGTACATAAAAAGAACACTTTTTTTTTTTGTCAAAGACAAGATAAGTTGGTAATGTACAAAAATAGATAAATATTGGCAACTAATTCAATTAAAAGTTGGTAACTTTTTTGGAGAGAAATTGGTAAATCTCTGTAGTTGAGGGAGGTGCTTTTAAAAAGAGAGTTAAAAAACTTAAAATTTTAGTAAGTAAGGCAAATAAAAGTAGTAACTCAATAGTTAAGTCGGTGATTTTTTGTAAATTAACAAATAAACGATTGGTAAGCAAATCGAATTAGAGTTTGTTACCAAAACTAGTTGGTAGCTTAGTTGGAGAAAATCAATAATAACTCTAATTTTTTTTTGGTCGAGAATAATAACTCTAATTGAGGTTGATAATTTTCTAAAAAGAGTTGGTAAGTTTTGAAAATCAGTAAGACATATAAAAGGAATAACTTGTTCGGGAAAATCTAGTAAATATAGAAACATTCAAATAAAAGTTGTTAAGCAATGCCAATAAGAGTTGGTAAACCGAAACTAGTTGGCAAATCTATTGGAAGAAAAGCTGATAAATCACACACCAATATAAGTTGTGATATATAGAAGCTAAAGCACTTCAATAACCTAGAGATTGCCATAATTAACCTCCAAAGAAGTTTAATGAGGCCCGAGTATGTCCATGACTATAACAAAAAAAAAAACAAAAAAAAATTAGGGACCATTTACGAAATAAAAACGAAATTATCAATAAATCTTGATACTTACCCAAAGGGTCCTCCCATTTCCCAACTGGACTTTGCTCTGAAACTGCCTGTCGATGCCGCTGGCCGCCACCGTGACAAGCCATGGGGCATGGTTCGCGACACTGGCCAAGTTCGGCCCGTCATTCCCGGCGGAAGTTGCGGTCAGGATCCCTTTCCTCATGGCGTGGAATGCACCGACCGCTATGCAATCCCTGGTGTAGCTGGGCACCGTGCCACCGATGGAGATGGAGATGACGTCGACGCCCTCGTGTATGGCGGCGTCGAACGCCGCGAGCAAGTCCATGTCTGAGCAGCCCGAGCTGACCCAGCACACCTTGTACATGGCCACTCGGGCCCACGGCACCGCCCCCCGCGCGGCCCCGCCGGCGAGGCCGAAGAGGTCCGCGTCCGGCACGACGTTGCCAGCCAGGGTGGATGAAGTGTGAGTCCCGTGGCCGTGCACATCGACGGGAGATAGGATGTCATCCGGGTCGTGCCCGCCGTCGAGCTTGAAGTACCGGGCTCCAATAAGTTTGCTAATAGAAAGAAAGAACCAAATTAATTAGAAGTCTCATAGTAATCAGCTCCTCCATTGAACACATGCATAGTTGCAAATTTGGTCAGAAAACAAGCAACTATATAGTTGCATTGGTGTGTATTAAATTAAGAAATACGATTTCACTATTCTTTTGTATTTTGGTAAGAGGCATAGAGAAAAATTAATTACTTGTTGCACCCTGAAAAATTAGCAAAGCGACCACAACTTCCTTTCCACTTGGACGGTGGTGGACCAAACCCTTTATCAGCAAAACTGTCAGATTGAGGCGTGATTCCTGAAATGTCACGAGATATGTTTAATAATTGAAATGATTAATAAGCAAATTCGAAATATGAAATCGATTGACAAATTACAACCTGTGTCGAACAGGCCCACAACGATGTCGTTCTCCATCTTCGGATTTCTTCTGGCCGTCTGAGGAAACCCGACGAAGTCCCACGATTTGGTCGTGTGGAGCTCGTGGTATCGGTTGGGGAAGACAGAGACCACCTCTTCTAGGTCTGAATAGCAGCATCTCAACCACATTATTAATTACTTAATCTCATTTTAAGTCAAGCATACATGCACGATAAATATTGATTGATCGGAGAATTATATAGATTTCTCTCATTTGGGTATTTAGGATGCGTTTATTTTATGGAAAATGAATGATTTGGAAAATATTTTAAAAAATAATTATTTGTATCGCTTATAAAAATGAACGAACGAAGAAAAATTTCGTCGTCCACGAAAATATTTAGACATAAATTATTATCGATAATGGAAACATTATTCATTGACTCACTATTTAAAGTGATGCAATTGATTATTTTTAGGAAAATATTTTCTAAAATATACATTTTCTGTGAAACAAACGGAGACTTAATATGTGCCTTTAATGGTACTAATATGTTAGCAAAAACCTTATGTAAATAATAAATAACTAGAAGAGTTTTGATTATTAATAAAACTCTTTCTAAACTTTGCGATGGCAACGGCTGTTTAAGAGGCGGCGTGGTGTTGACAGACCGTGACATGGATGACATGACATCACCGTGATTTTATTTTTCTAACTTGGATAGTAATCTTCCACATAAGCGCCGCATCAACATATTTAACCGTTCCGTAATAGAGCATCATGTGAGCAATTTCCGTCCATGAAATTAAAGGACTCCTAACATTGAGCACATTTTGAAAAGTCGAGGTACCCAATTGAACGAAAAACGAAAATTTAAGTACTCGATTGAAAAATGAGCAAAATACAGACTCTTGAGCACAATTTATGTAAACTGTTATTCGAGTAGTAGGCTTACTTGATAACTCTTCAGCCTCATCTTCGGACAGCTTGGCAGCAAATGCGTTGAAACTTTTGGTGTAGCTGTAGACCAACGACTCTTTTGCCGCATCGTCGCTATGCAGCAAGAGATATGGAGTCAGCATTAGAGGGTGTGAAGAAGGTAATTTGCTTATCTTTTTTCCCCCTTAATTTCATAAAGTATAGAAGCTGGTAAAGTTCTTTATGCGATTAATTTGATGACTTATGTCGATAACCACTCCATGTCCTGGGTTATTGCATAGGACCATTAGCTTCATTTATCAAATTAGCACAATAATTAATTCTCTTGAAGCATGGTAGTGGTTGATTAATAGAGAAAAAGAGAGAGAGACAGAGAGACCTTCCCTTGAGAGATGAAAGGAGTTGCAGGTGTGACTGAGCTGCATGTTCTTCATTTTCGTGACTATCTCCCAAGTAAACAATGTAAAACTCCTGCACAAATATTTATCTTTAGATTCAAAAGTAAAAGCCAGACGAGAAAACGAGAAAGAAAACCCATGAAAAAGAAGGGCAAGCACACCTTATTTTTGTTTCCATTTGTCGCAGCCACAGAGCCTCTCAAAATCAGGAGAGAAACCAAGTGGCAGAGAAGAAACCAGAGACCAGCCTTTCCTCTTGACATCTCTCTCTCTCTCTCTGTCGCTCTCGCTCTCTACATTTGAAGAACTTCGTGTCTCTCATGCAGGGACTCTTTCGCTGTACTTATAGGCCACAACCTAAGTTGGAGGATCGGCGTCACAGGCTGATGTTCGTGTTCGTGTTCTTCTTCGGTTACGATTACGTACGCTTGTTTAGCCTTAAAGGAAAGGTCATACGAAAGCAAAACCGGTTTTCTGGTTTCACTCTCCTCTCATAACCAAAAGGGTCATTGTCGTCTGCTACTGGGATTGCTTCTCTTGGAGAAACTTGTGATTATGAATGTTGTTCGTTGCTTGCTTCTCTCCTTCCTGTTCCGACGTCATTGCTTTGCTTGTGAGGGATAAAATTTTAATCAAAGACCACGTTAACTTAGCCAGTCGGAGTCAAATATGCTTAGCCGGAGAGAAAGTACATTGTGCATCGGAGATATATTACATAGACATAGACCGAGAAGTATTTTCCTTATCTCTTCTCCCAATCCGCGTCGTTTATGACAGAAATGCCGTAGTCGTTCTTATCATGAAATGTGGTGTGTTAGGTGCGGAGTGCTAGACATCATCATCCATTAAAGAGCCCAGAGGAAGGTAGAGAAATTTGGTCACTTCACTTCACGTTTCTTCTGTTGCTGTAAAACCACATGAAGAAGGCGTCAATCGGAATCCAAAGAGCTACAAGTATATTTCCTTTTTTCTTATTCACTTCAGATTAATTGAGGAAGTTGCTTTGAAACGAAGACCCCATGTTTGAAGGGAAGAAACGAAGAGCCCCTTTTGATCAATTGCTTCCCTTTCCCTTAGATTGTAATTCAAGCAAACGAACTTTGAAAGCAGAATAGACCGTTTATCATTGCTTAAGAGCTGCTAAACCAGGGTTTACTTAAATGCAAATCACTTTGCTTTTACTTTGCTTCCTATTATCTCAAGAAACGTTTCCTGTAAGAAAGGTTCATGTCATGATGACATGGTCTCAAATAGGGCCAGCACCCTGTACTGTTGTATTATCTTCATGTCGGTTATTCGTGCTTTCGCGAGTACATCCCCAAAAAATGGGTGAAAACCTGTCGATTCGTGTCGGATTCTTGCGAGGTGTCAGGAATTATCACTCTAAGTCTCAAATGATCCGAATTGATATAATAACCATTACCCTGTATCCAAACGCTTAGCGGAGAAAATCGATCGATGTTAGATTTTTTTCCGGGAATTCATATAAAAAGTCAGTTTGTATGTATATATATTAAAGTGTGAATATTCGTTGAAAAGTGAACGACTATGTGATGTAACTTTGTGATTGACGTAAATGTAAGGCAATGTAACTTAGATTTATGAGGATAGCACTTCTTTTTTAGCCATGATCTTGCATAGAAGCATTTTGGCCCAAGAAAACTAAGTAGTGCTATACAGCCCAGCATGATATATGGTGGAATGAAATAGGCCCATTGATGAAGATGGGTTCAACTAATCCAATTTATAATCCTATCCAAAGAGTCCATATGCTTGTGCAAATTGTACCTCAACAAGGTCTAGAGAAAACTACAATTTGCATAATTTATTATTGTTGACCAGGGGATTTATAAATTGAGTCCTAAATTTGAACTTTTGTATTAATTTACCCCCTACACTTTCGCAGCTCGTGTTAGTTTACCGCCGTCGAATGATATGCATGGTTAATTGAATATTTAGGCTATAGATTTTGAAATAAATATTTTCGGGTAGATCTCTACCTTCTTCTTTTTTCACATCACGTGCTAAATGAATGGATTTTAGAAAGAAAATGAATAACAGTAAGAAGTTGAGGCAAATTACTGTGTATTTTCGAAGTGCAGGGAACAAAGTGAAGCAGGAGCTATATCTAAAGACAAAATTGAAACGGAGCACAAATTCTGGGGATAATGTTTAGGGCCTATTTGATTTGAATTTTTAAGTAAGAAAAGATACCGATTCACGTTAGCAATGACAATGGAAAAATCATCTTAGCTTTAAAATATGCAAAAAAAATGCGTATAACTTCAATAATCTTAAATGTCCTCACGGATATAATTTTAATATGGAAGAGGTAGTTGACATTCGTATAACTTCAATAATACGAACATTTAATCTTAAATGTTCTGTAATAGAAATGTAAAAAGGCCAAATGACAAAATTAGATTCCAACATTTTCAAAGGGATTTTAATTTTATCCCATCTTTTAAATTACGTCAGAAAAAAAAAAGGACCGATCTTTCCAATCTGTTTAAAATTTAGTGAAAAAAGCTTCCACAGTAAATCTCTCGTCCTGTCCATGTTTCGTGGTAAAAAAGAAAGAAAAAATTAGGGTTTTTGTTTCTTGGAAACAGCACCTTTACACGTACGTTGGGGACGTGCCCTAGATTCTTCATTTAGAAGACAGAAAAATAAAGTAAATACATAGATGCACGTAGCTCCTGAACCCGATAACATGGGAAAGGTAGACCGTTATTCTCGACTTTCCTATTGGGCGATCTTTAATTCTCTTGCTTTTTTTTTTCAGTTTTTAAGTTTAGTGATTGAGATGTTACTACTCGAATATTAAGAACTTTGGGTAATTCTTTTACTTAATTAGAGTGCTTGGAAATGATCTTACACGCTTTTTTTCCCATTAAATTATCAACAAGGATAATTGAAAATGAGTAATGTTAATGATTTGAATCGCGACCTTGTAGCTATGTATTATAAGATAACAAGCAAAACGACCATAGTACAAAAAGGCTTGAATCGGTAGAAATTGATGATCGTGGGCCTAGGGGATTTAGATTTAAGCGAGAAAACATGGAAGTGGGTTGCGTGGGTGAGATACACATGCCAAATCATGATAAGATTGAGGATCAAAGTCCAATATGTAATAATTGTATTTACCATAAAAATTATGGGTTATGTTTAGCAACTATGATGTACTATTCTCTATTTAAGGAGAATGAATCTCCCTCAAGAAGCTAAGAAATATGGGGATTTCTACCGTGGATGTAGGCTTCCAAGAAACTTTTTCTTGGTCGACCAAATCACGTAAAACTTTTGTCTATCTTCTCTTTTCTTTGTCTGTTTCATCTTCGTATTAATTCGCTATATGGTATCAGAGCAGACAAGATTGATATCAAGCTCTTGCACTTCCTGTTGCTTAATTGGCTGTTGCACCTTGTCTTTATAATTAGTTAAGTTCTCTCTTTTTTTTTTTTCGATTTTGCACAATGACCGGCAGCTCTATTACCAACGATTTGGGTCGTTCTGGGTCGACTAAAATGAGCACTCGACTCACATCTAGAGGTGGCCACGGTTCGGAACCGACCGGTTCCGGTTCGTGGCCAAGTGTGAACCGGAACCGGCCGGTTCCGGGCCGGTTCCGATTTTTTTTTTTCTTTTCCTTTTCCTTTTCTTTTTTTTTTCTTCCTCCGCGGCCGACCATAGCCGGGGCCGGCGCGGAGGTCGCCGGCCTCAGGCGAGGCAGCCCTCGTCGGCCTCGCCCGACGCCGGCGAGGTCGAGCCTCGCCCGGTTGCGGCGAGGCCGAGCCTCGCCGGGCGTCCCGGGCGAGGCCTCACCCGGCCCGGGCGAGGGCCGCCCTCGCCCGACGCCGGCGAGGGCCCCCTTGCGCCCGACGCCGGCGACCTCCGCGCCGGCCCCGGCCATGGCCAGCCGCGGAGGAAGAAAAAAAATATATAAATTATAATTTTAAAAAACAGAAACAAGGAAAAAAGACAAAAGAGAAAAAGGAAAAACAGAAAAGGAAAAGGAAAAGAAAAAGAAGAAAAACAGAAAAGGAAAAACAGAAATGAAAATAAAAAAAATTTAAAAAATACTATTCTTGTGATAGACCATTATTCAATATAAATTGTGATTAAAATGTAAATTGTACTCAAATTTGGGGACAAAAAGACAAGAGAGAAAGAGAGGGCTTCAACTTAATAAATTATCATTAAGCACATTACAATTCGTTACAACGATCTTAAAAAAAAAGGAGTACAATATATATACCCTAAAATTATCCCAAAACCTAAGCATTCCGTGCGCAGGGGACCAGAGGTCACATATCGTCGGATTATATTTCGATTTCCCTAAGCTCACGTGGGCGTACCCTGTATGAGAAACAAGAGTTTCCGAAATATTTGCCAACTCCAATAGTTCTTTTACCCTCAATCGTCACTACCCGTTCCAGTACCGATACTGGTAGCGGTAGTATCTCCGTCGTTAAAGAATTCGGATTCATTATTCCGATCTATCTCTTGTTGCCGGTATTGAGCCTTTGTCCAATCAGCAACACAAGCTTGCATCTCCACTGATTCTGGATCTAATCTTGAACGATGTTCGTTCAAAATATTACCTCCGGCACTAAATGCTTGTTCGACCGCAACTGTGGAACAATGGGTTGAAAAAATCTGTTTTGCAATAAGAGAAAGGATTGGGTATTGGCTTGCGTGCCTCTTCCACCAATCCAAAATAAAAAAATCTGTACCACCTTCGGCTTCAGTAAACTCAAATAAAATGGTTAGATAACTCTCTAATTCAGAAATATTTCCTATTACTCCCTTTTGTTTTTTTTATCTATGTAATAAAAGTTGGTACCCTCTACTAATTTTACCTGTATTGTCATTTTGTATCTCCGTAGATTGAGAAGATCTAATATCACCTAAATTATATTTAGTATAAAATTCATTATATAATTCTATTACTACGTTTTTAACCTCACGTACTATGGTTGTAACATTTGTCACATCATAATGTAAACATTGATAATACGCACGCAAAAAATCATTTAAGCCATCCAATTTGCAACGCGGATCAAAAACACAAGCAACTAAATAAATCATGGGAATTTCACTATAATAATGAAGCCATTTCATTTTCATTGCAACTATAGTATGTTGTAATTCAACATCATTTTCATATTCATCAAAAGTTCCGACAATATTAGTACACTCTACTAAAAATAAATGTGTAGTAGGATAATAAACACCAGACAAAGTATAAGTTGCATCATTAAAAACCTTTAAAAGATCTAAATTTTTTTGGCAAATATGCCACTCTTGTGCGTATAAATTAATCTGAGATATATTATTAGAAATGAATGCACATAATAAATCTTTATATGCTAAAGATTCACTAAGCAAGTGGAAAGTAGAA